GAAAATAATGTGTTTTTTTAACCTTAAACCGCATAAACACATTTCATTACACCAAATGCACAAAATAATGTTCTTTTTAGCAACATCATATGACCCCTTTAATTTACCTGAAACCATGACAGCCTTTAAAAATCGCCTTTCAAATTAGAAAAAAAAAGATCTTTGAGTATATTTTGTATGTCTGTAGTGGAAGCTCAGACTACTGACGGCATAGGTTCCATAGTTTGAGACCAGCAAGGTTTCGCTGGTGGGTTCGGATTTTTTTGAGCAGAAAAGCGAAGCCCGGTTCCCAATTGGGCTCTGGCTCTGGCACCAGCCCCAGTGGAAAAGTGGTATGAGTATGTGAGACTGTTCCTGCTGAAAAAAAACAGCTCTCACACCAGCAGGGGTAGCAGCTAAGCACTTTAGATTAGTGGGGAGAGTTTTGCTTTGCAGCTTCAGCTGTCAGAATAAATATATAGATAAATATCAGAATATATACAGTATATATATATATATATATATATATACACACCCAGCCAGTGGGTGTCCAGGCTGTCCTAATCAAATTTTGTTGAACAATGTGCAATTGTGTAAAAAGCATAGTTCACCAAAAAATGAAAATTTCCAAACCTGTGAATTGTTTTTCGTCCATACAGTGAAAGTCAATGGAGTTCAATCAATGTTGTTTTGGACCCCACTAACTTTCATCACATGGACAAAAAAATAAATACATTTAAATACTTTTATTCCACAAGGATGCATTACATTGATCAAAAGTGACAGTAAAGCTGTTTATAATGTTACAAAAAAAATTATATTTCAATTTATAATTTAATTCTATTTATAAGTTCTCTTCTTTTCAACTTTCTATCATCAGCATATTAAAATGATTTCTGAAGGATTACATGACACTGAAGACTGGCGTAATTATGCTGAAAATTCAGCTTTACCATCACAGAAATAAATTACATTTTAAAATATACTCAAAGATCTTTTTTTTTCTAATTGTACACAGTATTACCCCAAATTTACTATGTTTTTTATCAAATATATTCATCTCCCATCACCCAAATTTTTCTATTCTTTTGTAGAAGAAAGTAAGTCATACAGGTTTGGAACAACATTAGGATGAGTAAATGATTTTGTGTGAACTGTCCCTTTAAAGCGAAACACAACACGAGTTTCAAAAAGTATTTGACTCCCCTCTATTTCTTTGATTTGATTTCTTCTGAAGATGGGCTATGTGGTTGTCAGCAATGAAACTAGACTGTTTTTTTTCTCCGTAAAGGGATGTATTGACAGACAAAAATACATTTAATGCCAGTTTTTATTTAAATACTTTCTTTTAATTGTATACATGTTTTCATGTTCATCACAATGCTATATGAGTTAGGTTGTTGTTGTCTTTGTGGGCATTTCATGATTTGTTTGCCAGTATTTCTAATGTGTCAGGCTTGACTATAAAATGTTTTGCAGCGATGCTAAAGTGAAAGAAAATAAATGTTAAAGAACATGTTAAACTCCATGTGTGAAGCATGTTTGACCTTCACTCTCAATTTTGCAGCTGAGCAGATTGAACTGTTACACAGTGATACCAATGTCAGTATAAACGCAAGTGAAAGTATTTGTGCAATAATGTCATATGGTACGGTATATCAGCATTCTTTCTTTATTACTATATGTTTTTTTTTATTTTTGCGAAGAGTGTAGCAGTTAATACTAACACTGTATTTTGTGTGCTCAACTCTTGTCTAAAGACTGCTGTGTTGTAACGTTCATTTACTTTTAAATAAACTAGTGTCGGTGGATCTTAGCTAACTTTACCCTTGTGAATGAATGAAACTGAATAAAAGAAAATTAGTAAAAAAAAAATTTTTTTTTTACCTTTATCTTTATGTGATTAATAAAGTGTTCTGTTACTAGTAAAGGGGTATGAAAACCTATTTAAAAAAAAAAAAATTCCACTCGATCCACAACGTTGACATCAGCAAACCACTCACCCACACGACGCCATACACAAATAGGCCTTTTGTGTACATAGAAAAAGTCTTAGATCTTTGAGTTCAGCTCATGAAAAATGGGGGCAAAAACAAAAGTGTTGAGTTTATAATTTTGTTCAGTGTAGATAGATAGATAGATAGATAGATATTATATAACAGCATAAAATGTAACATAAAGCCCTAATGTACATAACTGATGACAAAAAAAAACTAAGAAGTAGCATATATTTTTATGAAAACCCATCAAATGTGAACTGTCAAACAGGTTTTTCACCGTAAATTATAAGATGCCTTTTTCTTTTTCTTTTCCAAAACTTTACATTTAACAGTATAATAACATGAAATGCAAATGCCCCATTAGATCTATTAAAATGTTTAACTGTATACAGTAAGGGAAATTACCTTTAACAAATTAACATGTTTTAGCATAGCATTTTTACTGTTCTTTTACTATAGCATAGCATTTTAAGCATCTTTTACTGTTAAAATCATGATCACTTGAGCAGACAGTTGAAAACAGGCATGTCATTGACATTAGGTAGCATCAGAGAGAAAATTATGCTGGGGGTAGAGTGTCTGTTTCATCTGCCAAGGCTGACAAATCAAATTTAGAGGGATAGGAAGTATTTATTCACTGGGTGACTAAGTTTTCCAATTTGTACTCCTCTACAGTGGAGTCTATTTAACCTTATGCTGCTCATATAAAGGTACTACCAGGGAAACAAAATGGCAAAAGTTTAAAAGACGCTTTGAAACAACTTTTGATTCCAAGAACATTCTGAGAATGTCAGTTTATGGATTCTGTTTAGATTTTGTTTACAAAAAAATCAGACATTAAAGAGAAAGTTTTTAATAAAAAAAAAAAATGTGATGTTTAGAATAAAAAAAAAAAACAGAATTCATACATTAACAGCAGAAGAATGTTCTGTGTTTTCTGGTAAATAGTGTGTCAATCATCAAATTTGCAGCAACTGTAACATCAGATAAAACCTCTAATTTAATTGTCTACCTACTTTTTAAAGAGAAATAACTACATGAAGCTGAGAAAGTCCTTACGTTTCTGGTGAGCATGTCCTGGAATTAACATAAAAGTCTCTCTGTTTTCTGCTGAGGCCTCATGGATGGGGCTGAGTGGTATTTTGGGTATTTGCTTATGGGGTGTGGATTCCACCTATACGCACAACCTCCCTGGAGCAGAAATACAGAGTCTTGCTCCTGCAGCACAATCATAGTCTGGTGTTTCAGTATCTGGAGTGTGGTGGTGCCCTCATGCTTGAAGCTTTAGGATACAAACACGGGTTATTGGTTCAGTCCAAAAAACCAGAGCCGAACCAAGAACCCAGGATCATTTTACCTTCAAGAAAGATCCAGTTTCTATCAGCGAATGACAAATCCAGCCCATCTGGCCCACAAGTTCACCCGTGAATGTTTTTGCTGGGGTTAAGGCCTTAAAATGGAGTAAATAAATAAATTTAAAAAAAGGACAAAAACAAATAGTGATTATTATTGAATGTACCGCAAATACAGTTAACAGACTTAATATTGCATTTTTGTTACATAGAAATGTACTTGACAGTAATGCACTGATTTTGAGCTAGGATGCCATAAAGTACATTTCCTGCCATTAAATTGTCACCATTTACACACCCTAATGTCGTTCCAAACCTGTATGGCTTTCTCTTTTCTGTGAAAGAAATTTTGAAGAATGTTGGTAACCAAACCATTTTGGTTGCCATTGACTTTGTACTATTGTAACAAAAAAAAGAAAAGAAAAGCAAACATTTCTCAAATTATTTTTTATGTTCCACATAAAGAAAGTCATACAGGTTTGGAATGACAGTAACATTGGTAAAGCGTTAACACCTAATTTATGTAAGACACTGACAGGCCAATTTATATTTCATCAAGCTCTAACTGAATTAACATTTTACTTCAATTAAAATTCATTAGAACAATTAAAAAGTTAATCTATTAATAAGACCATAGTCACAGTAAAACCATGGTCCTTGTTATGGTTTATAAAATTAATAATAATTTATATAATATTTACATAATCTATATCATTTATAATAAAAAAATAGTGTAAACACATGCAGAAATGTTTCCCCGAGAGGGAACGAGACGCTGCGTCCTCTAGCGGACACCTTGGGGAATGCTGCCAGCATGACCAGTGTCTGAAGCACGTGTGTGAAAAAAACACAAATCCTATTGGTCCACGTGGCCTGTGACATCATAGGTGGGTGCCCGGATGTATAAAAGGACAACTGCTGAATACGTCACCAACTTAG